CTGTGGGTTTTCTCTTCACTTTTTGGATTCTTTCTTTTGATGTACAGAAGCTTTTTAGTTTAATGAGGTCCCACTTGTTGATTCTTGCCCTTGTTTCCTGAGCAATTGATGTCTGGTGTAGAAAATCATTTCCTATACCTATGTCTTGTGGTTTTTTCCCAATGTTTTCTTCTAACAGTTTCAGAGTTTCAGGCTTTACATTGAGGTCTTTGATCCATTTGGAATTGGCTTTTGTGCAAAGTGAAAGATAGAGTATCGGGACTCAGGTTTGCATTGCTAAGTGGTGGACCTGTTGGCTTAGGGGCAGAGAGACTTGATCGGCGACAGAGTCTTGGACCCTGGGACCTGTGTCTTTTCAAAAAGCCATTTATTTCAAAATTCAGATTTTGTATGTCTTCAATGATGTTCCATTGATCTGTGTGTCTATTTTTTCGCCAGTACCAAGCTATTTTTAGACTATAGCTCTGTAGTATACTTTGAGATCTGGTATAGTAATCCCTCCAGCGTTGCTCTTTGTGCTCAGGGTTGCTTTGGCTATTCAGGGTCTTTTGTGCTTCTACATGAATTTAAGGATGGTTTCTTCTAATTCTGTGAAGTATGTCATGGGGCTTTTGATTGGGATTGCATTGAATGTATATATTGCTTTTGGTAGGATGGTCATTTTCACAATATTAGTTCTTCCAATCCATGAGCACAGGGGTGGGGTGTTCTTCCATCTTCTGATGTCTTCTTCAATCTATTTCTTTAAATATTTAAGATTTTCATTGTAGAAATCTTTAATATCTTTGGTCAGGTTTATTCCGATTATTTATTTTGCAGCTATTGTGAATGGGAGCATTTCTCTGTATTCTTTGTATACTGATTTTTGTAGATTGATTTTATAACCTGCCACTATACTGAAAGTGTTTATCAGTTCTAGGATTTTTCTGGTGCAACTTTTGGGACCTCTTAGGTATGGTATCATATCATCTGCAAAAAGTGATAGTTTGATGTCTTCTTTTCCAATTAGTGCTCCTTTAATTTCCTTCTCCTGTGTTATTTCTCTAGCAAGAATTTCAAGCACTGTGTTGTAAAGGAGTGGAGATAGTGGACATCCTTGTATGGTTCCTGATTTTAATGGGAATGCTTCCAGTTTTTCTCCATTTAGAGTGATATTGGCTGTTGGTTTG